TAACATTACTTAATATTATATTTTATTATTCTAATACTATATCAAATAGTCAATATTATATTAAATAATCAAAGCTGTGATTATTATTATTTTGTATTATTATTATAAGTATAAAAAATTAATGATATTGCCAGGGCGTAGAATTTAATAGGGACGGACATGTCCCTACCAATATCCAGCGACTACTAAATTGTCCCTAGCAATAATTTTTATCAAACAATTAAATATATGTGTATGTAACCATTGCTGTTGCAATTTTGGCCGCATCTGAAATGTCATACCATTGATATTACCTGAGAAGTAAATATACTTGAAATAAAGTAAATATGCTAGAAAACCGCACGCTTTTTAATACATGGGCGGAGTAAGAACATACAGTATAAGGTAGCCGAAGTCTTTAAAACATACGTGCACAGTTCAGTTGAATGATAGAGTTTCCCTTTCGAACAGTCTCTCCTGTTGCATCGCTGATGCTTTTGGGGAAACTGTGACTGCAACTACAATGACTGCAGAGTAGAACTGTACCAGTGTACCAGTTCGCCGCAGCTGGCGAAGGAAGTACAGCCTCTGCTGGGCCTTCTTGACAATGTGGAACTGGTCCTGAGAGATGGTGGTGCCCAGGAACTTGAATGACTCCTGCACAGTTGTTTCAATGCTGTCCATGATGGTGAGTGAGAGGAGAGCAGAGGGGTTTCTCCTGAAGTCCACTATCATCTCCACTGTTTTGAGCGTGTTCAGCTCCAGGTTGTTTTAACAGCACCAGACAGCCAGCTCTTTAACCTAGGCCTGACACGATAACAACTTTTTGTTGTGCGCTATATTGCCCCAGAAATAATTGCGATAAGCAATATTATTGTCATTTTAAAGATAATTTTATGCCACTGAATATATAATCATAATTCCTTGAAATAAAGAATGCAAAATAAGTGTTGCACAGGGTATAGGGTTCTTGTCTCGGTGCTCTTTGGGTGCAAGGGATGATTCAACTCGTAAGAATAATAGTAGTCCAAGGCACTCGAATCTTATTTAAAAAGTTTTAAAAAGCCTTTATTTCATAATGGCTATAAGTTTTAAAAACAGGTGACAAGTGCACACCTACGCGTTGCGGCTATTTTGCCTTCGTCAGGGAGTGAGTAACAAACACAATCTGAGTTCATTTTGAGCAGCAATTAATTAGTCAAATAACAATCACCTGGTCGAGAAGAGAGGAAGTTCGAAGATTACATATCAAATTAAATCAAACACAATATAATCATATATAAAGGAGAGGGAAAAAAGAAGACAATTACATAAACTTAAATATATAAATCAGACTCCACAAATCAATGTACAGTATGTATATACATAGTATACATTTCTTTAAAAAACAAAACAAAACAAAAACATACAAAACAAGATCAACAATATAATACTTACAGATCTGAATTCTTATTACAAAAAAGGTACAAGGTCTAATTCCCCATTTAAGCCTGGAAGTTTAGTTGCTTTCAGTATATAGATCCAAAAAGACTCTCTCTGTAAAAGCTTAATGACCCTATCATCTCCTCTTATTGACCTGGGGACATGTTCTATTCAGATTATATTCAATGTACTTGGGCTACCATGATTTTTCGCTTTATAATGAAGGTCCATAGGATACAAAGGGTTACAAACTCGAATGGCATTCTTATGTTCTGCTAATCTGATCTTTAATTTCCTTGTATCATACCATTGTATCAAACAACCACATGGACACTTTAACCGATACATTACAAATGAGGTATTGCAATTAATAAATTATTTAACTTTAAATTCAATGTGTGAAGTTACATCTTTAAACATCTTTGTCTTGACCATATTGTCACAGTGATTGCAATTGCAACATCTGTAATTTCTTGTAATAGGCTTTTACAGAGAGAGTCTTTTTGGATCTATATACTGAAAGCAACTAAACTTCCAGGCTTAAATGGGGAATTAGACCTTGTACCTTTTTTGTAATAAGAATTCAGATCTGGAAGTATTATATTGTTGATCTTGTTTTGTATGTTTTTGTTTTGTTTTGTTTTTTTAAAGAAATTTATACTATGTACATACATTCATTGATTTGTGGAGTCTGATTTATATATTTAAGTTTATGTAATTTTCTTCTTCTTTTTTTTCCCTCTCCTTTATATATGATTATATTGTGTTTGATTTAATTTGATATGTAATCGTCGAACTTCCTCTCTTCTGTTTGTTCTGTGTAGAACGACCAGGTGATTGTTATTTGATTATTTAATTGATGCTCAAAATGAACGAAGGCAAAATAGCCGCAATGTGTAGGTGTGCACTGGTCACCTGTTTTTACAACTTATAGCCATGATGAAATAAAGGCTTTTTAAAACTTTCTGAATAAGATTTGAGTGCCTTGGTCTACTATTATTCTTACAAAAATAATCGTAATGTAACAGCATAATAATGCAAGAAGGCCTACACACTTCCAAATGGCAACAAACTTTTAATGTTTAAGAATATTTCGATCATGGAAATTAAGTATCAAAATATTAGATACCTTAAAAACCTAAATAAATAGTAAATAAGCATTTTCTAACAAAAAGTGCAAAGTAGAAAAAAAGAAAAATGCACAAAGAACTTGTATGGAGATTTTTCCATCGACAGATTTTTCCCTGACCTTCTTTTCTCTGTAAATTAAGGGTGCACACTATTGCTGAAAAACACAATCACTACTTAGCAGTCAGATGTCAGTATGCACAAAGGCACAGATCCCTAAACAAGACCATATCTGCAGATGAAACTTTTTTTGTAGAAGCATTTTTTAAATTTGAACTAGCACCTCATGACTACACCACGTTATGTACGAGAAGCTGCAAAAGACACAGGCACAAGTGGAATGTACAAAACATGGTGACATTAATTTTTAAGTAAATATAATGGGCGATATATTGCATGACCAAAAATTATTGAGGTCATGTACATATATTGCGCGATAAGTCGATATGTTGATTATTGTGACAGGCCTACTTTAACCCCCTTCATTTAATCCTGTAATTTTGGGTTTCTTTGGGATGGGATGATGGTGGAGCATTTGAAGCATGAAGGGACTTTGCACAGCTTCAGTGATCTGTTGAAGATCTGTATGAAGAAGGGGGCCAGCTGGTCAGCAGAGATTTTTAGACAGGCTGATGTAACACCATCTGGGCATGGTGCTTTCTTTCTCTTCTGTTTCCAGAAGACTCGACACACATCTTTTTCACAGACCTGAAGTGCAGGAGCGGGGGAGAGGGGGGTTGCAGGAGGTGTTAATAGATCCATGGAGAGAAGGTGAGAATGGGTGTGGGGTGTGAGATAGGGTTTTTCAAACTTGCAATAAAACAAACCTGCAATAGTTGGTGATGTCTTTCAGTCCTTTCCACACTGATGCAGGGTCATTGGCAGAAAACTAATTTCTCTGCTTTTCAGAGTAGTTCCTCTGATCTCCTTCGTCAGTGTGTTTTTGGCCTGTTTATACAAGTCTCTGTCCCCACTCCTGTAGGCATCTTCTTTGGCCTGACCGAGCTGTCTGAGTTTTGCAGTGAACCACGGTTTGCCATAGTTGTAAGTTAAACGAGTCCTGGTAGGGATGCACATATTCTCACAGAAATTGATGTATGATGTTACAGAATCCGTGAGCTGGTCCAGATCAGTGGCAGCAGCTTCAAAAACACTCCAATCAGTGCAGTCAAAGCAGGCTTGTAAATCACACTCTGCTTCATTAGTCCATCTTTTTACAGTCCTTAATACAGGTTTAGCTGATTTCAGTTTTGGTCGGTATAAGATGAACCAGACAGTGATCAGAGAGCCCCAAAGCTGCCCATGGGACATAGCGATTCCACCACCACATGATTTCCCTCTGTATTCTGAGTCACGATTCACTCTGAACAGCTGGAAGCCCGGTGCCGAATTCTGCACCTCCGGCAGATTATGCACCCTCTAGTATTGGTAGGTTTAGGAGTAGGTGTGGGGGAGGGATTAGGATTAGGGGTGGGGTTAGGATAAAGCAATCCTAAAGGGGATGCATAATCTGGCAGGGGTGCAGAATACCAGCTCGCTTCCCACGCTCGCTTAAAACACCAGCTACAATGTTCAGCAAAACGTCTGAGTAATCAAAAACCGGTAGAAGATTGTGTGGTGTGTACTGCCGAATGTTCAGCAGTTCATCCCTGAAAAACAGCAGACAGGAAAAATTAAACAAAATCATTAAAACAACTAGAGAGCTCCTCACTGAGGCAGCCAGAGGCAGATTTTAATAATTTGTGGTTGATTTTAATTTGTGGTTAGCATGGTTTATCTACAGTAGTAACCATGTTTTTTCCACCTTAAGAGGACACATAGGATGAATATAGAGATGCAGTTTTCACTGCTTTAGGATTAACAGAACGTTGGTTAGTTTTAATAAACTTGTCTAGATTAACTTTGAAAAAAGACAAGAGAGGTTTAGAGCCAGATTTTTGTTTATGTATGTGAAATTTAGCTAGCAGGAAATTAAGTTATCTTTTCCTATATTCTCTTGCGAGCAGTCAAACAATCCAAAGAAGACATCTTCAAAACAGAAAGAAAAGTCACTTACAAAATGAGATTAGGAACATTAAAAAAAACAAAAAACAAACGGACCAAAATTTCTCTGTGTGGGTACAGACACATTGCCAAACAAGTGAATGACATCTTCTTCAGAAGAGTGACAAAAAACAGCTATACTCACTTCAATGTCTGACTATTATAATTATGGCCATAAACTGTTTGTGAAATTTGGAGTAATGTATTAATCTGTTGTTTGACCTCTAGTCTCCACCAATGACAAAATCAAACATACACCCTTGATATTATGAATAGAACTATTAATTTTCTGTTTGATGTTTTATATGAATAAACATTATTATTATTATTGGTCAATTTCAATTATTCGTCTTGTATTTGAAAATCTATATCAGACTCATCAGATGAGTTGCGCATACACAGATTCATCTGTCCAGCGCGTGCGCACCTTCACACACACCTGCGCTCTCCTGAGACTTGCTACTGACCGAAAGAGGGAGGTTTCTATCCAGTGCACAGTGCAGAAAGAGCAGAGAGAGTGAGGAGTAGCGCTGCCCTGCCTGTCAGAGAATAGCTTCATTTAACACACAATAAAAGAGCGAAGGACTCCGGGGAAAGTGAAATGTCAGCGCGAATATCTTGAAGAAACCACTGATTTACTTCTTCATCTCTTTGGTTCCTATTCAAGAGTTTATCCAAGAACCTGAAGTGGAGAGGTAAAGGTGAGAACTTAGGTTTTTACTATTAAGAGCATTAATGAAACTGGAAGTAAACGAATGAGACATTAAGCTGTTATATCTTCCCATTATGATCATTTATATACAATAATAAAACTAACAATTACTTATGAGGTCAGTTGTTTTTCCTCCCTATGTAACTGACTATCAGGTCAGGACAGAATTCGTTATATTTGATTTTTCATTCATTTAGAACTTTTAACTTAACATTTAATTAAAAATAAATAAAGAAAATAAATGTTAGGGTAATATTTGGAAACATTAGAGACAAAAAGTGAATATGTAGCTGAACACAAGTTACACAACACTAAACACCTTTCAGTCCTCTAAAAGTGTTTAATTTGAAACAAAATGTTAAGTTATAAATCATTCAATAACTAATTATAAAAATAATTACAATTATTAAATTATTACGCTTCATCCAGTTTGAATTGAATTATTAATGAAGAAACTTTTAGGAGTTAGTAGTAAGGACATACATGAGTGCACAAGTTAAATTCAGGGCAACAAAGTTTGTTTTTTTATTATTATGTTGAAATTTTTTTTACAGTGATTGTTAATAACAGCACTGACTGTAACTCTCGGAATAATTTCTCAGTTTGCCCTTTGGTTTATTTAACTTACTTAACCGATCTTTGTCCATGACAGAGGTCGGATTACTTTTTATAAGCGTTTTCCGTGACATTTTCAGGTTTGAAGAAGCAACAAATCAAGGTTTTGAGGAGGAATCATTGGAATCTGTTTCCAAGTGTATTTTCCAGTTTTCTGTTTTGGATAAAAATGCCAGAGAAGAAGATCGGTGAGTACTGAACTATTTCTCTCCTTTTTGACATCAGACAAGTGCTGTGTTAAAGATTAACAGTGATGGGTCATGTACTCAATTTGTTTTGGTCAGTCTTGATCTGTGTATTACTTTGACAAAAGGCCAAAAGGTGTCAAGACATGATGTGATGTGCCCATACAGCTGTTTACCTGCACAGAAAAACTAAATTCTTCTTCTAAAGTTTTTCTTAGACTAGATTATGAAAAAAAAAATCATTACTTGTTAAGATTTTTTGCTCTGATTTCAGACCTTTAAGGCCTAATTTTATGGATTATATACAGAATAACATACTTTTTTCCCATAACTTGCTGCTTGCTTGATGTAGATTAGCCGTTTAGCATTTTCAAAGAATGTTCTGGACCAAAACAGTCCTTTATAGTGGATGCATTTCATTGTAGAGGCCAGACTTGAACATTTCAGAGCCGATATACATTAGCTAAAGGCCATTGTGATGTTTTAATTTGGCTGCAAAACTCGAATCATCCAGGTATGACCATCTTGAGCAAGAAAGAGAGAGAGAGAGTGAGGGAGAGAGAGCAGTGTACCATGAATAAGCTCTGTCTCATACAAACCCCCACTCAGACAAAAGTACTACTTGTTCTCTGGTCACATGGGTCATGGCAGGTGCTGTAGAAACGTTCTGAGGCAGTTGGGAAATCCTCAGGAATGAAACGAGAGAGAGAGAGAGAGCAAACAGGAAAACATCACACTGTTTCAGTTTTGTTCTGACCTCTAATGTAACTGTTCAAAGCTGGGTCAGTTGAGAGTCAAGGTAAGATATGGATGGTCTCATTTTCACTTGATACTCTGATGTTTCAAGCGCATTGTTTAGCAGCTTGCATCAATGACCAAGACATTTCACAACTAGAACTGCAACCGATGCTGTGTTTTAATCCAACATCTGATCTAGATTTAAAATTAGTTGTGTTATTAGATGCCCTCTGGAAAGCCGCTTAATGGCATAATTCACGCAGACAAATGATTTTCTGCATTATACACCTTAGGTAGGGTAAATGACGTGATGTAGGACCTTTATAGAGTGCGTGCCATAGATTGTAAGTCTCGTTTTCATGTACATTTAATATGCTGTCTAATCTGACTAAGGTCTATTACCGGTAATTAAAAGTTTGAGGTCGGTATGATTTTTTCATGAAAGTAGTCTCTTATGCTCAACAATGCTGCGTTTATTTGATCAAATCAGTGTTGAAAATAGCTGTGCAGCTTTATATTTTGTGGAAACCCTGATATTTTTTATTTATTTGAAATAGAAATCTTTTGTAACATTGTAAATGTCTTTACTTCACTTTTGATCAATTGAATGCATGAACTTGCTGAGTAAAAGTATTAATTTCTGACCCAAGACCGCTGAATGCTAGCGTAGTTTGCTGTCTATTTATTTGCAAATACTGCAATAAAACAATTGCAACTTCTTAAATCATTTTTTGAGAAACCATTTGTGTAAAGAATGGGAGAATAGCCATTACTGCTGAATACATTTCGTTCCCTTCATGTTAAGGGGATGACCATGTTGGGTTTTAATTTGCTATAACAACCGTGTGAGCGTACAATATTTCTTACATACTGTAGTGTATGTAAGAAATAACGTTAGTGACTTTAGGGTACTTATCTCAGCTCTTGGTGTTTGAAATTAAGTTCAATGAAATTAAAAACAGAAGCCCACCACCATTTTTCTCATCATGTGAGAAACATCAGTCTAACATCCCTTTCCTTCTGTTATATATCCGTGACCATGACCTGTGATTCCCTCAGAAATGCTGAGAGTATGGTTCATCAAGCTCCAGCATGAACGAATTTCCCAGCAAACACATCACACATTGTTCTCAAAAAGATAGTCCACCCAGAAATGAAGATTATATAATAATTTACCCATTTCAAACCTGTATGCTTTTCTTTCTTCTGTGGAATACAGAAGGCAATATTTTTTAATAAAGTTGGTAATCAAACAGTTTTGCGTCCCATTAACTACTATAGTATTTTTGTCCATACTTTGGAAGTCAATGGAACCCAAAATGCTTGGTTACTAACGTTATTCAAATATATTCTTTTGTGTCCCACAGAAGAAAGAATGATGACAGAATTTTAATTTTTGGGTAAACCATTTTTTAATAAAGTTGGTAATCAAACAGTTTTGCGTCCCATTAACTACTATAGTATTTTTGTCCATACTTTGGAAGTCAATGGAACCCAAAATGCTTGGTTACTAACGTTATTCAAAATATATTCTTTTGTGTCCCACAGAAGAAAGAATGATGACAGAATTTTAATTTTTGGGTAAACAAAGTGATTTTACACCTTCAGGGAATTACAGATTTTATACATTTTTTGTGCTTGTTTAATTCATGAGGATCATAATACTGTAAAGAGTTGTTTCTACGTGATATGTCCATATGACCCAAAGGCTTGTCAGTTCAGTCCTGATGCAGACCTGCAGCAACCTGTTTTGTGTGTTTGTTTGCTCTGGGCTTATCAGACAGCACAGTCTCTGCTGTAGTCTGATGTCGCATGTTAATCATCACACCAGAGCTTCTGCACAAGCTCTTCACAGTCAGAAAAACACATGTTTTGTGATGGTCCACATTGCAGCTGCATGTGCAGAACACCCTGTGCATTTTAGCAGAATCTGAAGCCTATCAATCACAAAATCCTACACGTCTCATCTCCTACATGTTTGTTTGCTAAATATGATTAAAAAGTCCATATAAAGTTAATTCTGGTTATCCCTGCTCATTCTTGTCATTGAATGTAGTTTAGTTGGAGCCTTGGCTCATTGGTACGGTAATGTATGTGTTTGCAATGTAGGGGATGCAGGTTTGAGGCTGGCGTGTATATTTCCTACTACTCCCAAAGGAAGATTTATTGCTCAGAGGTTACCCCTTTTATAGCTCACGAGACTTAAACTTGTATATTATTTTCTTAAAAATATAATTTTTGACAGAAACAGCATTTTACACATTTACCACCAGGCACATGCAGGAAATCCACCTATCATGCTTTTTCTCCTTATATTGTCATATCATTAGCTTTAAATAAAAGTAAAAACAAAATGTAAACTTAAGAATGAAAGGAAGATGCATTTATGATATCAGTATAATTATATATACATATACAAAATACAAATAATATAATACAAAAAAACAGTGGTTTTAAATAAAATAAATAGATAATCAACAAATTGAATGGTTGTTTAATAAAAAAAAAAAAATATATATATATATATATATATATATATATATATATATATAATTTTTATATTATTCAATAAATTAAATTTAAATTAAAATAATTTCCTTTATTTTTACTGTCATTTGATTCACTCATTAAAAAATATTCAATGAAAATAATAAATCATATTTTTATATCTTATATAAAATATTATATGTAACATTTTACAATATAAAAATAAATTATATTATATATTACATACATAATATATATTGAATATACCTAAATAATTTTGATTTGTATAATTTATAAAGAGATAAAGGTAAAAAATAAAGATTCATAATTCATTATTTTTCCCCTTCATTTTTACTGATTCACTTTCATCAAGAAAAGAAAAATTAATTAGGAGAAACAAAAGTTGTTTATACACACACACACACACACACACATATATATATACACAGCTGTTTATATATAGTTTTAAACTGAATTTTGTGAATATGTTTGAGGTCATACTGAAATAATTTGATTCCAGACTTTGGTATCTTGGCAAATCTGAACAGAGTTCCCTTTATGACATTGTTAAGATTTTTTTTTAAACTAAGCATTTTATAGGAAAGTCTTGTGAGATTATTGGGGTCTTTTCATTTCAGGATAAACATCTAAGAAGCAGGATGCATATGTCATTTGTATATCGTAAAAAGTAATATTTATATGTGGATGTGTTTTATCTGGGATGGTAATGGTTATGAATGAGCAATACTGGTCCTAGGAGAATAAAGGTCTTTAGCTGTGGTGAATGCTCAGTGCATGCAGGAATGGATATGACTGTCTTGTGGCATTGGTCACTTAACACTGACTTGGTTACATCTAGGAATATGCTGACACTGGTCTGTGTGTGTGTGTGTGGAGAGCGAGAGCTGATCATGACACTGAGATGATGTCCCACGTTTACTTTAGCAGTGAGGAATTGATGACTTTGGACTATTGATCTCATTCATGGTCGTTCATTTCATCAGCTCTGTCATGCTTTATGTGTTTGTGCACAGGCATGAATTTTAACGTTCACAAAATCTTAAACTACTGCTTTAAATATATGCTTTGTCCTGTACTGAAAGTGTTGGTTTCTGTCCTACAGGAAGTCCAGGGATGAGCATCTTCAGCCGGTGTCGGGTGGCCGCTGCAGTAGCTCTGATCTTGATCATACTGGGAGGGCTGGGAGCCGCCGTCTGGGCCCTTGGTGAGACTTTCTACTTGCTGATTTAATGGAATACTGCAGTCACTCCAGAGACACTTTACACTTGATTTCTTTGTTTGTTTTTTCAGTCACGTATCTCAGAACAACAGAAGATACTGGATTATTTGATGGTAAGCATTGTTCATTTGTACTCATATTTAAATAAGATATATTTAATATGTATTATATTTAATATACATTATATATATATATATATATATATATAAATATATAATAAATATATTTAAATTAAGATATACAGTATACAGTATGTTGCTTAGGTTTTTTTAAAGAAGGCTGCATTTATTCTGAAATACAATAAAAAACAGTGATGTTAAAATAAATATATATATACAGTGGTTATAGAAAAGAATCGCCCCCCTTTTAAAATATATTTTTTAGATTTTGTTGTTTTGCAGCCTGAAATGAAGACAGACACAGTTTTTGTTTTAGCCAGCTGTATTTACTCAACTTATAACATCCAAGTGAAATATATAACACCAACATGTCAGAAAGAAAAAAAAACAATAAAAAAAAAAAATCACTGATTTGGAAAAAGGATCACCTCCTTGTGTCAGTATTTTGTTGAACCACCTTTTGCTTTAATTACAGACTTTAGTCTGTTGGGATTTGTCTCTACTAACTTTGCACATCTAGACTGCCAGGGGCGTGTCTACGTGGTGGCCAGTGGTGGCACCGGCCCCCCATGAAATTTGGCTGGCCACCCCAGGTGCCCCCCCCCAGATGTCTTGCCATAGGCTTGTTTTTAGTAAATTTCTCATTTTAGGCGGTTTCTATAGTGTGATCTTAATGACAATGTCGAGAGTGCATAATGTTACACGATCCATGTGCGCGAGGACGAAACTCTCCACTTCACTCTTTTCCTTCACTCACACAAAACTGGCCATGTGCTTTTAACATACATAGTTCCGCAAACACAACCCCCCCACCCGGCCACCCTCTTTTGAGCTGGGGGGCCAGTCCCCCCCAACCACCCTCTTTTGAGCCGGGGGGCCAGTCCCCCCCAACCACCCTCTTTTGAGCCAGTGCCCCCGACTGGCCCCCCTCATTTAAAATGCTCTAGACACGCCCCTGTAGACTGCAATATTTGCCCACTCTTCTTTGCAGAACTGCTCAAGTTCAGTTAAATTTGATGGTGAGCGTTTGTGGACTGCAGTCTTCAAGTCATTCCACAGATTTTCAATGGGGTTTAATTCTGGGCTCTGACGGCCATGCAAGGACATTCACCTTTTTCTTCTTCAACCACTGTGTGCTCAGGTTTGCCATGTGCTTTGGGTCATTGTCATGTTGCAAGGTAAACCTTCTTCCCATTGACAACTTTCTGGCAGAGGGCAGCAGATTTTCCTCAAGAATTTGATGGTATTTTGCTGCAGAGAAACACCCCATTACAGAATATTACCTCCTCCATGCTTTACTGGAGGAATGCTGTTATTTGGATGGCGAGCTGTATTGTATTTCCGCCAGACATATCGTTTGGTGTTGAGGCCAAATAATTCAATTTTAGTCTCATCTGCCTCAGAATCTTCAAGGTGAGTTTTGGCAACACTCAGTCGTGACTGTGTGTGGCCTTTCTTGAGGAGTGGCCTTTTCCTTGCAACCCTTCCATACGAGCCACATTTGTGGAGAATTGTGTGATATTGCTGTCACATGCATACAATGACCACTCTTTGTCATAAATTCCTGCAACTGCTTCAGAGTTGCTGTAGGCCTCTTGGTCGCCTCTCTGACCAGTTTCCTCTTGGCTCTTTCATCCAGTTTGGAGTGACATCCTGATCCAGGGAGGGTCTGTGTTGTACCAAATACCTTCCACAATAGACTTCACTGTGCTTCTAGGCATAGATAAAACCTCTGAAATTTTTTTGTATCCATCTCCTAAATTGTGCCTGTCCACAACTTTATCCCAGAATAATTTTGACAGTGCCTTGCCACCCATAGTTGATTGATTGTTTGCTTCAGTTGTGGGAGTGACATCCTGATCCAGGGAGGGTCTGTGTTGTACCAAATACCTTCCACAATAGACTTCACTGTGCTTCTAGGCATAGATAAAACCTCTGAAATTTTTTTGTATCCATCTCCTAAATTGTGCCTGTCCACAACTTTATCCCAGAATAATTTTGACAGTGCCTTGCCACCCATATTGCCACATGTTGTATTTTTCACTTGGAATTAAAAATCAGCTGGATAAAACAAATAATGCAAAGCAAAGCAACAAAATTGTGTATATATATATATACTGTTGTGACCAGTTACATAAACTGCTTAGATTAGTCTTATAAGTCATATAATTTCAATAAAACTGGTCATAACCTTTTTTTAAACATTTACATAAAACATAAATGGCCTAATTTTAATCCGAAAAGTAAGACCCCCTGCCTAACTGCTACTTGGTCAGACTACTTCTTAAGGCACAACATAGTAGCTTTATTTATGCAACTTCTGTGATTTCATCACAATTCAGTTGTAGAAAATCACAGCTACTTATAAATGGCCATCAAGGCCATCAGAATATTATATATGGTTTCTTAAGGATCATGTGACACTGAAGACTGGAGTAATGGTTGCTTAAAATTCAGTTTTGCATCACAAAAATAAATTACATTTTAAAATATATTAAAATAGAATTGAAATTGTAATAATATTTCACAATATTGCTGTTGTTACTGTAATTTTGATCAAATAAATGCTGCCTTGATGAGCATAAGAGTCCTTGAAATGAACAGCCCAGTCAACATATCACAGTCTTGTTTGGTTTTACTAGTGGTGAAGAAATGACACACTCATTCTTTAATAGTGTATCAGATTGAACTTTAATCTGGCAAACAAAAAATAAACAATAACTAAAGGCTAAAAACCGGTAAGCTCTCTAAAACATTCTTCATGTTTCATTTCTGTTTCAGTAAATGTGACAAAGGTCAGATAATTGAGGTGATTTGTCAGGGTAAGTGCTACAACACAAGCATATTTGTAGCATATTGAATATTTGCACTGCAAATGGTTTGTGATTTGTACGCTCTCCATCGCTGTAGACTGTGGTCGTCGTATGCTGCCTGAAGAGCGGATCGTGGGGGGAGTGGATGCTCGTCAGGGTTCGTGGCCATGGCAGGTCAGCTTACAATATGATGGAGTTCATCAGTGTGGTGGATCCATCATTTCAGATCGCTGGATCATCAGTGCTGCTCACTGCTTTCCTGAGTGAGTGACATACACTTTTTACTTCTATATTTACTAAAACATGCTAGCAACCATAGGCGGAGGGTGAACCAACTCCAGGGTAAGGCTAAAAGCAGCCAAATGTATTAAACATCATAAACCCGCCTTTTTAGGCAAGAACCAGACACGGGTGTCATGTAGGCTAAACTATTTTTTTAATGGGACTAAATTTGTATTTAGCGTGATTACAATTTAATAAAAACGTTGGAAATTGATAATTATATAACGTTTCCTTTCCACGGTTATTCAAACAGCGAAGCAATTATTTATAGAAAGTGACATTATCACTAACACTGATCTATTGCGAGTTTAAGCACTCTCAAAAAAACAAAACTATCGTTATAATCACTGAAGCTGTATACACTGTGAAACGAATCTCTTACTTACATTGTACGTACATCTGCGCTTTGTTGTTTATGATGAGAGAATTCGCAAGAGTCCGGAATTCAGTCAGCGAACACGCGCGCACTTAACAAAACTGATGTTTCAATGATGACTCACCTGAATGCCTCTGATTGGCCATTGCATTCCTAAGCTCAACAGAATTGTGTGTGATTGGTTCAAATGCGCAACACTGTAAAAACGCCTAATATGAAATACGGTGCAACATGAGCAGATCTTAATTTAATGCCGCAATCGACACGGTCTATTCATATTCACTTTGTTAGCAACAGACTAACATGATAACGTGATGCACTTATGTTGGAGCTTTAATTACGCAATGGAGGGGGAGGGGCTATCAAACTCTGATATTGGATGACAGAATAACTTTATATAATTAATACACTAGACGGTGGAGTACATAGTTCATAATGCAATATATGCTGCATCATTTGGGACACAACTAACATGTTAAATCATGTTAACAATGTGCTAAAACATACTAGCAGTTTCTTAAAATATGCTAGAAAGTGTGCTAAAACATGATAGAAACATATTAGCAATGTTTTTAAAATATGCAAGAAACATGCTAGCAATGTGATAAAACTTGCTATCAGAATGTTAAACCGTGCTAGAAATGTGTTAAACATGCAACACGCTAAATTATGTTAGCAAATATGCTAAAATGTAAGACATTATGTTAATAACTAGAATCAAGCTAAAACATACTAGCTTCATGCTAAAAAATGGTAGCAATATCTATCTTACAGATTGCATGGCTTATACCTGGAAACTTCATGTTTTTTTAATTACTTTAATCTTAAAAATATTTAAAACATTAAACTTCACTGTTTTTAAACTACTTCACACTTTCTGGCTAGGCTTTCTCAAGCCAACATCAAAATTTGTCTATTTCATCCAAATTTGGTGCCTGTATCCTCAGGAGGTATCGTCATGTTTCACGCTGGCGGGTTCTGATGGGAACCATCTACAACACTCCCATCAGTAAGAATGTTGTGATCGCTGAGGTGAAGACGGTTGTCTACCACAGCAGCTACCTGCCCTTCGTAGACGCCAACATTGATGACAACAGTCGTGACATAGCAGTCCTGGCACTGACAAAACCTCTGCAGTTAACTGGCGAGTTTTTACATTTAGTTACATTGAGTTTTACAGTCAGTTTTACAAAATTCATTGGCCAAAATCCAGCTCCGTATAGATGCATATTAAACTAGGGTGACCATGTCCTTTTTCCCTGACACGTCCTGGCCAGGATTTCTATATTGCCTAAAATATCCAGGTTTTGGCTTTGTTTGCGCTGCACAATAATAATAATAATAATAATAATAATAATAATAATTAATAAATTATTAATAATTCATTACATTTATATAGCCCTTTTCTAGGCACTTAAAGCACTTTACATTGTGAGGGGGGATCTCCTCATCCACCACCAGTGTGCAGCATCCTCCTGGATGATGCAACGGCAGGCATAGTGCACCAGAACGCCCACCACACACCAGCTTATTGGTGGAGAGGAGACAAAGTGATGAAGCCAATCAGCAGATATGGGGATGGTTAGGAGGCCATGATGGTCAGAGGCCAATGGGCAAATTTGGCCAGGATGCTGAGGTCTCACCTCTACTCTTTTCAAAAGACATCCTGGGATTTTTAATGACCACAGAGAGTCAGGACCTCAGTTTAACGTCTCATCCGAAGGACGGTGCTTGTTGACAGTATAGTGTCCCCGTCACTATACTGGGGCGTTAAGACCCACTCAGACCACAGGGTGAGCACCCCCTGCTGGCCTCACTAACATCTCTTCCAACAGCAACCTAGTTTTCCCAGGAGGTCTCCCATCCAGGTACTGACCAGGCTCAGCCCTGCTTAGCTTCAATGGGTAACCAGTCTTGGGCTGCCGGCACAGACCGAATAGTGTATGACATCAAAGTACCGTGAGAGCTATAGAGAGCAGACGGCTACTTATGCTTTCAAATCGCTCTCACAATACTTTGAATCGCTTCAAGTTGAACACACCTAATATGTGTGCGCATTTGCATCGCTTTGAGAGATCCCACCTTCTCACGCACCATGATTGGTCGATTATGTACAATGCCTGCATGTTATTGGACAAACTACTTTTCGATCATTACCTTCAGCAAGTATGAAATATTTTAGGCAGTATAGAAATCCTGGCCAGGACTTGTCCGGGAAAAACAGCATGTATGGCCACTAATTAAACATCACATATGTTCTGACTGGCTGTGACTATGCATATTTGCATTCAGTTTGGACTGAAAAATGACTTTTGCTTTTACCTCTCTGATTAAAAGTATCTTTTAAATGTTGCTGTAAATTTCAATACAAAAGTATTTTCATAAAAGAATTCGTTCATAAAAGAAATGGCTCTGTACAAGGACAAATCTTTACTGGCAGCAGTTTAATCAGAGTCTGTTTTGGGGTGTTTTTCATTAAGTACTGGTATGTTACAAGTCTGACTAAACAGCAGTATTATAGTAAAACCTCGCCCCGGTCTCAGGTTGCTCGTCCTGAGAACAAAGCTCCTCTATTTCCAAGGGACCTTGAGTTGAAACAGAAGACAATACGGGCAGAATTTTCTAGAAGGACAAAGCTTTTCCTCATCTCCACAGTTTTCTGTAACCATTAACTAGAATGTTGAAGGGAATATGTTGGATTTGATTCTGAAAATGTATCTTTTCCCAATGTGAATCGAAGGAAATTGAGTATTAGCAGCTAAAAATTGCTCATCGTTCCCTCTACACTCTTAAAAATAAAGGTGCTTCAAAAGGTTCTTCACAGCGATGCCATAGAAGAACCATTTTTGGTTCCACAAAGAACCATTCAGTCAAAGGTTCTTTAAAGAACCATCTCTTTCTTATCTTACTCCTTTTGTGAAACGTAAAGGTTCTTCAGATGTTAAAGGTTCTTTATGGAACCATTTAGACAAAAAGGTTCTTCTATGGCATCGTGAAGCACCTTTATTTTTAAGAGTGTAGTGTCCTTTTATAGTATTGTGTTTGACCGTGAAACGGTTTTCTTCTCAGTTGACATCATTTGTTTTGGTGTTTTAGATTATATCCAGCCAGTGTGTCTTCCTACCTACGGCCACCGTTTGGCAGATGGGCAGATGGGTACAGTAACCGGCTGGGGTAACATGGAGTATTATGGTTAGTAATCTCATGCTGTGTTTTTGAAGTGCTGTATTCCACTGTTTATCATTGTTTACCTGAAAATGGAGATCTGTTGTCTGTCTGTCTATCAGTCTGTCTGTCTGGCTTTGACCTTTGTGTCAGTGACCTGTGATGGTGTTGCTGTGCTCGAATGAACCGTATGCGTCACCAGCTAGCGATTATCAGTCAATACACTTACTTGTGATAGAAGCCTAACAGGCTTTATCACATCATTCCAGTGTTGTTATCACTTGTGAAAAAGAAGTGTGCTTAATCGTATTAAATGCGCACTTGTAGTGTACTTATCTTAGTGTACAAATCTTTAAGAATATTTTATTTAAAAAAGGTAAATTTTAAACGCTACTTAAGTGTATTTAAAGAAAGTACATATTCATGATTGTTTCTTAGCGCACTTTAAAAAAGTGCACTTTATAATGATGTCAAATTAAAAGTTTTAATTTAAAGTTCATTTTAAATAATCTTTCGTCAAGCTGTAAAGAAGTACACTTGATGTGTTGACTAACATACTAAAGCAACGTTTGTTTATAAATGTAACTGTTCAATATTACAAATAAAATGCAATATATTTTAAATGTTCCAATTGCAACTTCATTAGAAATGTATATATTTACAAATATATTTAAAAACATGACATACAGGTTTCAATTAAAATTACAAGTATATTAGAAAGTACACAAAGACAAGAAGTAATTATAAAATTACATATAAAGAAGACCTACTTAAGTGGTTTAAAGAAGCACCCTTAAGTTCAGTTAATTGCATTTAATATAAATGTAAACTATAATTTGAATCAATTGTAAATAACATGCAATTAAGGGTCTGAAAACATTACATTTGATTCACACGTAAGTATTTTCTTTTAAAGTATAGGCCTGTTATTCCATAAGTACTATTTTATAAAGTATGCTAAAGTGCACTTCATCACAAGATTAACTAGAACTTTGCTAAATAAAATAATACAATAAGTAAAATATACTGTAAACATTAGATGAAAAAAAAATATATAGATTAAATCTAAACAGAATTAAAAAAATTTAAATAAAAGCCTATTCAAAATATGAATAAGTATTACGATAGTATATAATACTAAATAGCACTTTTCATTATCATTCTAGCATGTTTCAGTTACGATGGTTATACTTTTAGGAAATTGTACAAAATATAGTTATATAGAAAGTTGCGTTATGAGAAAGGAGGAACCGACTCCTGCCAGGTATCTGCCACTCAGCTATGACATCATCAGTCCAGATGGACAGAGCAGCTCGTGTCCACCAGAGGGCGACATTCATAACTAATGTGCATGATGTGGCTGTGTGGAATTGTGAAGTGATATGAGATGTGATACTATCTCTCATATGATGTCAGGGGGACAGCGGTGGTCCTTTTGTAGCATCAGATGTCCTGTCTAAGACCAGCCGCTATCGTTTGCTGGGGGTGGTGAGCTGGGGCACAGGCTGTGCCATGGCCAAAAAGCCCGGCGTCTACACCCGTGTGTCACGCTTTCTGCCGTGGATATCCACAGCCATCAGGGTGAGTGATGCAGGATGATGCCACACTTTCAACAGATCATAAAAACAAACTTTCTCTCACTTTTATCTCCATAGATGTATGAAAACTCCCCAGGGGTGCACAAAATGGCACGGGCGGTTACACCATAGCCATTCAGAGTGGAAAAATGCTTAAAATGAGACTGAAATGTGGCCCGTTGAGGTCAGATGTGTTGCTCGGATCAGTCTGAGATCAGACGTCTGGTGCTGATCAGATGTTCTGTGATGATCAACCTGTCTCAAGGATAATATCTGACTCTCGGAGGCCAAGAACAATTTCTGATGCTGTACTTTGGGGTTTAATATGCTTATGAACATAGCATGTTTCATTAACATAAAACATGCTATTTTTCTCTGAAAATCTGTCACCAAAATACAGTAAAATATGATATATAAGGTAATCAAATTAGCAATTTTGACTGATCCCAAAACCACTCATAATATGTGTGTGTATATATATATATATATATATATATATATATATATATATATATATATATATATATATATATATAAACTTTTTTTTTCACACACAAAAACAATTAATAATTTTAGAATATAGGGTATTTTTATCCGACTTTATTGCAGGTTTGTACAGAATGTATGGTAGCAAAACAAATTAAATCCATGTTCATGTTCAGCTCTAGTTCATTTACTTGTAAAAAATATATCTATATATTTTTCTATTAATTTAAATAATATAATGCTATACAAACAGACATAACATGGACTCCAGACAGCAACACACACACATACAATTTTATCACAATTCTAAATCTGACAAGGACTCTCAACTTTATATCAATCTACAGTATTTATATCAAATTTGTTTACTAGTGGCACACGTCCAGTCAAAATCTGTAGTACATGCACTTGTAAGAAGCATTTTGCCGAATAATACAGGCCTCTGTGAAATGTGCCATGATTAAATGTGTACTTACATAGGTTTTATAAATTGAAATGGCCAGAATGGTGACATTTGAAAATGTTTCATGAAAACTACACATTTGATGTATTTTACATGTATTATATTTTATTTTCTCTTCTTTTTTTCTTAAAGATGGGTTAAGCATTGAAGAGACAAGCACTAAATATAAAGATACAAACCAAAGACTGGTTTAGAAAGCAGTATGAATAAACTCAGCACTGTGGTAGTCAGTATTGTTGCTTATATTTTTGTACATAATAGCTTCCTTACTATGCAATGCACTGTTTAATTCAAGTCTATGTCTAATTTTATGTTAAGCTGCTATATTGTTATCCAGATTTTGTACCATAACCTTCTGAGTAACATTTTGTAGTAATTTGGTAGCTCTTTAGGCCTTTTGAATATGACAACAATAAAACTCAAACAGCTTTTAGCTTTTATTCTATAAATATGCTTATTTTTCTGTTTTCATTTTCGTGAAACTAACTGATATGAATATATGTACACAATACAGAAATTCTGACCTTTGACATACAGTAATCTCACTACTTCTTCTTTTCAGTTCTTTTTAACCAAATATAAATGTTGCATCCATAATATGACTTTTAAATGCTGAAATAAAGACTTAATTTTTTGGGGGGTTATTTTTGTTTGTGCTTTAGAAACTTGACATAAAATCATCTAAGCATTTAATCATTTTTATATATAAATCATACTTAGCTGTGTGTTAATAATGTACTGTATATGTCTAATGTATATATGTATCTAATACACACACACTATATGCTTACATTTTTGTTAATGAAACAGATGAATATATGTACAATATAGAAATTCTGACCTTTGACATACAGTAATCTTTTCAGTTCTTTCCAACCAAATATAAATTTTGCACCCATAATACATGACTTTAAATACTGAAATAAAGTAATTAATTTTATTTTTAATAAAAAAACAAATGTGGTTATTTTTATTTGTGCTTAAAAATTGACAAAAACATCTAAGCATTTAATTATCTATATAAATGTGTAAATGTTAAAATTTTCTTCTTAGCTGTGTATTAATTCCAACATGTATATACACAAAAATGATTTGTATTATTATTATTATTATTATCATTATATGCCTATATTATATTGTGTATTGTAGTCAGTCCAGTACAGTCTCAATCCTGGTAACAGCTCTAATTTTCACCATTTTCTGATGGCATTATAGGTTTGTACAAATGAATGCAACACATTTCAAATCTGAATGCTTACAAGATAACTCTTTCATTCATAAAAACTACTTGGCATCCATGGAACCATTGCTGGGTGGAAAAAATGTGTCTTTCTGGCTGATGTAAATTTTAGTTTTGGCAGTAAAATGCCTTTTACTCAAATGGCAGTTCAGTAATGCTAGGAGGAAGGGAAAACATAAAGAAATCAGTGCTAAGCACACAAGGAAGTGTAAAGAGAGCGACACTCGTGGCTGTAAATGTTGGAATAGGCTATGTCCCAGCCCAGCCTCAAAATTTCTTGGAAGAGGTCCTTGCAAATGAGCATCCTCCATCCGACGGTATTTTTCAGCGCAGTTTCTACTGAGAAAGAGTACTGCTCTCATCTGCTCTGCTACTGAGCCATCGCTCGAGGGACTGGACCAGCAGAAAGGGCTTTCCGTGGCCCTGTGACAACTTATGAAATGAGAAGAATGAAGACTCAAACCGCTGTTTCTCTGATGTGGCTTCTGATTTTAATGCTGCAGTTTGCTTCGCTTACCAAAGGTGTGTTTTCCGGTTTCATTTTAATGCTTACGGTTAAAGAAAATGGCATTTTTGTGATAGATTTGGATAGTTCATGTTCCTCGACTTTTAAACTTCCGTTGAATAAGCTGTTGTGTTTAATAGGGCAATACAAATAGCTGTTGGTAAAGTGGGATTTTTCAAACTTTATATTTTTAATTGTCTCAAAATGAGAAGATTTGAACATTTCTTTATTTATATTTAGACTTTATTGGCTAGTTTGTGTACAGGTGTGGTTATTAGAATAGTCAAGTTCATAATTTCTTAGTCAAATGAGTGAAACCCTCCTCATGCTGTTGCTTCTCTCCTGTGCTTTAGGCCTGAATCACTTTATAGTTCCTCAGAATTTGACCTCGGAGACCGGAAAAACTGTCACCTTTGAATGTGGTGTCAGTGGATTGAGTGGGCAACAAATCAGGTTTTACATTATGGGTTCAAAGGTCAATGATTCTATGGCTTGTCCAGGAGACAAAACCAAATACTTACCCGCTCAGGTGACTTCTCCTTAAACTATTGTGGTGCACACACTGTACACTAGCAGTCGAGTTTGGACACACCTATCATTATGACTCTCTTTAACATGTCAGAATCAACAACACAAATAGAGTGATTAACGATCAAAACCAGATGAAAAAATAGCAAGACTTTGCCTACACTCTTAAAAATAAAGGATTTCATAGCAGAGCAATAAAAGAATCTTTCAGTGATCAATTCTTAAAAGAACCTTTTTTTTCCGCTATAAAGAACATTTTGTGGAATGGAAAGGTTCCATGGATGTTTGTTTAAAGTTCTTCATGGAACAATCAATGCCAAAAAGAACCTTTAGATTGAAGAGTGTAGATTACAGTTCTTTTGTGAAGTCTAAATATTGTTTCTACATAATTTGCAGTTACTAATGAGAATGAATTGAACTCTCATAAGTTAAAGAAACCTTTTTCATTTTTCTACAATAACAGGTTTAAATGGATTAGCTTGACAAAAGCAGCCGACACAACAGTTTGTGTAAAACAAATAATAATTATTTACTCCACTATGCTGTAGAAAACTTCCAAATGATGTAATTTCATATGTGCTATATTAAATAATAATAATATTTATCAAATGATAGATAGATAGATAGATGTACTTAGATAGCAAGATAACATATGCTAAATAATATATATATATATATATATTTTTTTTTTAATATGAATTATTAAGAAATAGCGTATATTTAATTTCTCAGTTGCAAAATGATAGTGCCCTTAAATTTACCATAAATCTTTCTCTTTTCCCCAGTCAATGAAAGCGTACTGTTATAAAAAAGCTAGTGGAGACGTAGCTGCTTGGGAAGTCGCAGGAACATCAGAAGACGACAATGGCACTATTTTTTTGTGCAAGGTCAATGGTATAGATGACAAAATCGGACACCTTTATGTGTACGGTATGTTACTAGCCATTAAATGTGTGTGTGAATGTGAACAGGCACTTGCCTTAATGTCTCTCTCTCTCTCTCTGTTCCTTTTAGAGAATGATTCTTACTATGCTAAGCTCATTGGATACGTGATTGGAGGATTTTTAGCGGCCCTCATTACCATCGTTGTGGCTTATGTCCTGTTGAAAAGATCAGAGAAAGTACAGCATTGCTTCAGTAAGTTTCTCGTTACTCATATACTTGCACATGTACTGCACATTATATTCACTCAAATATATCTAATTTGCATGAAGAGATATTGAGTTACAGGCAGATAGTTTCTAAAGTTTGGTCTTGTTTCTAGGGTCGGTGGGTGGAATCCAAGATGACGTGCAATCGGCACAATCTAAGCAATATTGAAACCCCTCTCATGATCCTTATGAACAAATGTGGATCTGATAATGATCATTCTAATATAGCACACACACCATAAGATAATATATGTAATATACAGCATACACTTAGTTTCTATAGATTTGAAAGAAGGCTTAGTTATGTTTCTCAGGTTTCAGTCTTGTCCAGTAGAGGGCTTCTACACTTCTATGGTCACATCCATTAATGTTTTAGTTTCTAATGTACTTGGTTCACAATCCTTTTTTTGGTAATTAACTATCATAACTGTATTTCAATTTCTAACCCTAACTTAACACTAAAGTCAGAGGGATTTTGATCCAGGAATATGTTTTATTGGCTAATCCACTTTAATCATCAAGCAACTCCACCTTTTAATAATGTATATCTTACAAATACAAAGACTGGATTATTTAATCGAGGATCTGCTGTTTAATGAATAGTCAAGTACTCTTTGTCATTGTCATGCTGTTTACAATATACATTTAATTTAGTTTGTTATTTTCAATTTAATGTGAATTACGCACAACTTTGACTGATTTAATTTCATTTTATACTGCTTTAAGTGGCTAAATGACAACATTTACAGCACACAAACTGAGGCTTTTGGGTAGCGTTGAGTAGATCAACAGTAGATGGGTCAATATTGACACAGGTGGTTCGCTGCACCCTGGAACGGCCGTGTTTCTATTCTGCTATGCTTTTCATTGTAGATATCAGTCCATGAGCATTTCGTTTTAAAGTTTGGCTCGGAAAATGTGCGTTTAAGCCTGTTTTGAAGCTTTGACTATTTGCATATGTGCTCCAGCATTTGTAAACACTCAAGAGGTAACGTCACAGCACACAACAACCATCTGCTTTAGCTCACAGTCAGATTTAAGTTTAATGTTGTATGATATTTTCACCATACGCTCATATCAATTAAAAATGTCAACCTTATTGTAA